ACTGCAGCCCCCGAGAGGCTATGGTCACCTCGTCACCGTTCACTGGACTTGCTGTGGTGAGTAATGCAGCCATGGCCTGTGATGGCAGCGTGCCTGACGGTGGCCCCTCCTCAGACTCAGGGGTACAACTTCAGGCATGGGTAGGACTGTGTGACACAGCTGGAAGCACTAACGCGTCTGTGGGGGACACTGAGGAGTGCCAGGATGCCCCTGGAAGTTTCTGGAGACCTGGGCTAATTGAGGGAACAAGTTGGTTTTTAACAGTATGTGCCTGTCTGTGGTTCTCACTCCGTGACCCCAGGTCTTCACCCATCCTCATTGCTTACCCTTCCCTGGAGACCCCAGCATGCTGCTCTCTGTCCTGCTTACGTACACGAGCCAGATTTCATGTCCCTTGTGGAAAAGACTGAGTCCTAAGGAGCAGGTGGTGTAAGTGTCCCCCAAGTGACCTCTGACTGAAGTCACAAGCTTCCATGTGGAGCTGGCCATTTCCCTATGGCAGGGCCTCAGCCACCAGCCCACAGTGACAAGGGGCTGGGCACTCCATGTGACACCCATCTCCCTTCCTTCAGCCCTGATCCAACCTGCAACCTTTGCCAAAGCAAGTTCACCTTTTGTGAACTTTCCCTGACCTCAGTTTCCCCACCTGTGAAGCAGTAGGCAAAGCTTCAAGGGAGAGGATCACTTCTGGGTGAGCTGCTGTGTCAGAGGTGGCATTGGCTCACAAGACCCCAGCTTTTGAGCTCTGACAAACTCAAGTGTCTGGGAAGGACTGTGCTTTCCAGTGTCAAATGGAGCCTGCACGCCACCTAGTGGAAGTGTCTAGTAACTGACTGGAGCTCTAAAGACCAGCTTCTCTTGCTCCACTGGGGTTTACATTCAGAAGAGTCTTAGTTCTAAAACCGGAGCATGGCTGAAGGGGCATTCCTTCAATGCCTGCTTCAATGATGCAAGTCAGTGATGCTAATAATTTATAGCCTCTCTTTTCTTGCCCTTTCTGTTTTGAGGGTCTCCTGTAGCCAGGTTGACTTTGAGCTCACTGTGTAGTAGAAGACGACCTTGAGTTCTGGAGTTTCCTTCCTCCACCTTCTGTGTGCTGAGGTTACAGGCTTGCTCCACCACACCTGCCTCTTCCACAGGCTTTCAAGACCTCCCACGGACATGATTCTGCCCAGACCTGACAGTGGCACTGTGGTGATGCCGGCCCAGGGCAACTTGGAACACACTGCCTCTTGGCCGCACTGCTGCCTTGCCAAGGCTCAGTGGAGACCAACCAGAAAGTAGGACTGAAGTTTCGGCTTACCCTGGAGCAATATCTGACTCCAGGAGAGACCACAAGCTGGGACCACCTGGGTACACCCAGGGACGGACCATCCAAGGGGAAAGCACCTAACATTCCAAAGGAAATTCCTAATGTTCCAACCATTGTAGATAGGATCACCTGACGTCCCTTAGCCTAAGCACACACACCCCTGACCCCCAACCTGTACTATGACAAAAACCCTACCCCACCTGAGCTGGGCACTCTCTGCTCTCAACTGCTGCATTGGACAGATGGAGACTCCAAGCCCGAGCTTGAATAAAGGCTTTTTGCTTTTATTCATACATATGGGACTCGGTCTCCTTGTTGGCCTTTGTGGGACTCTGAGATCTGGGCATAACAGTAACATCCTACTTCTTAGTTTGCACATAGCCAAATATCACAGCGGGGAGATGCATGGAGACTGAGCACCGAAGATGGTGGTGGCTGTTTTTTTCATTGCCATGATGAAATCCTTGGCAACAGCAGGTTAAAGAAGAAAGGGTTTATTTTGTCTCCCAGGTTTTAGGGGTACCGTTCATCACGTTGGGAAAGGAATGGCCATGGAGCAGGAGGCTGCTGGGCACATTGTATCCACAGTCGGGAAGCAGAGAGAAGATGCTTCTGTCCTGCTCACATCCTCATTTTTATTCTGTGAGGTCCCCAGCCCATGAGACAGCACCACCCACATAAAGTTAGCCCTCTCTGGAAGCACCTTGCTGAAGCATCCAGATGTAAGCTTCCTAGATGATTCTGGGGCCAGTCGAGCTGATGGTGAAGACTGACCATCACAAGGGCAAAATATGGCTTCCTGCTTGCAGACAGCTGCCTTCCTGAGGAGTCTTTGTGTAGCTCTGAGTGCCCCTTCCTTCTCTTATAAGGGCACCACCCTATTGGAATTAGGCCCTGCCCTTATGACCTCATTGAGAATTAATTACCTCCTTAGCCTCTGTTTCCAAATGTAGCCACACTGGGAATTGAGGCTTCCATCTATGGATTTAGGAGGAGGGTACAGAGTTTAGTCCCCAGAACCCACCTTAGCATAACTGCATCTTGGGAAAACTTATCCGTCTTAGCATGCCTCCTACCCTTGCCTGCGGAGGCTCCAAGTTACCGTGATTTCCATGAGAATGTAGAGATTGGTCTGGCTTTCAGATTCTTTCTGAGTATGTCTTAAGTCTTGTGTTCTGAATGGCTAGTGTGGAAGTAAGTTATCTGAAGTATGATGCTGAGCTAAAAGGAAAACAAATCCTTGAAAAAATTCACATATTTTATGCCATATCTGCCACATCTTCCATATACAATCCCTGAAACGTTTATATTTCATAATAAGTATGAAAGCTGTGATAGGTAATGCTTTCTCAACTTGACACAAGCTAAAGTCAAATGGGAAGAGGATCTTCAATTGAGGGAAAAAATGCTTCTATCAGATTGGCCTGTAGGCAAGACTTTGGGCATTTTCTTGATTAATGATTGACATGGTGGGGGCAGCACCCTGTGGGCAGTGCCGCTCCTGGGCAGGTGGTCTTGGGTTATGTAAGAAAGCAAGCTGAGAGCCAAGAGGAGCAAGCAGTACTCCTCCATAGTCTCGGCTTCATTTCCTGCCTGCCTCCAGGTTCCTATCCCGAATTCCTGCCTTGCCTTCCTTCCCTTGACGATGGACTGCAAACATCTGTTCTTAGGCTTGGGGCCTGGTGTAACTCACCACAATGCCTTCCTCCAGGGCCTTTCTTTCGCATAAACTCCATCAGGTTCACTTGCTACTTCAAAACAAACAACCCTCTTGAGAAAAATGTAGAGTATAAAAGCTACGTTGTCTTCCCTAAAAAAATAAAACACATGAGCACAGGAGACAGAGGCTTTGGTGCAGTCAGGAAGCCAATGGGTTTCTGTTTTGATCAGTGTTCTATTGCTCTAAAGAGACACCATGACCATGACAACTCTTGCAAAGGAAAGCACTTAATTGGGACTGGCTTACAGTTTCAGAGGTTTAGTCCATGATCAGCACTGTGGGAAGCATGGCAGCATGCAGACAGACATGGAGCTGGAAAAGTAGTTGAGAATTCTGCACCCTGATCTGCAGGCAGCAGGAAGAGATGATGGGCCCAACTCGGGCTTCTGAAACCCCAAAGCCCACCCCCAGTGACACACTTTCTCCAAAAGGTCACACCTCCTAATCCTTCTAAGTAGCCCTACTCCCTGATGACTAAGCATTCAAATATATGAGCCTATGGGGGCCATTCCTATTCAAACCACCTCAGCCTCTGATGGGATTGAGGTCAGGAGGGCTCTGATCTTCGTGGTGGACTATTGTATTCACAGAGCAATAATGTGATGGGGTAGTGACAGAAACTAAGAAGAGCCCAGTTGAAGCAAGTGGGTGCTGTGGCTCTGAAGTTGGGCTTGAGTCCCTTCTAGTCTCTCCTTACCATGCTGCTGCTGCTGCTGTGCCCCAACACTGGTCCAAAGTGATGCTTTGTTTTGAAATCTCTCCATCTGTGAGCCCAGACACGCCTTTCCTCTTTGAGTTGTCCCTCCAGTTTTTTGTCCCAGTAATATGTCTGCCTTCTTGGATCTGTTTGCCTTAGGTCCTAAAAGAATTTGGCTTGATGACAGAGAGAGGCAATCCCAGTTTTCTGTGAAACAGGGACATACCTCTTATGGTGTCTGCTCACAACTACTCAAGATAAAAAGATTTTTATGTAAGTAATTTTTTTGTTGACCCTCTGGACACACAGTCTTGTAGTAGAGCACTCACCTAATGAGTTCCAGGCGTAGGGTTCAGTCTCCAGCACTCCAGCAAAAGTATTTAGGGAATAGCTAACAAGATTGATTATTGTTGTTAGTAAGAAAAGAAATAAAAGGGACTGGAGAGATGGTTCAGCAATTAAAAGAACTGACTGCTTTTCCAGAAGAGCCAGGTTCAGTTCCCAGCATCCACACGCAACTCCAGTTCTAGGGGATCTAACTCTCACTTCCGACCTCTGACAGCACTTCACACATGTGATACACAGACATACATGCAGGCAAAACACACACACACACACAAACACACACACACATTAAAAATAAAATTTAAATTTTAACAATGAAAGAAATACAATTAGCAGTTGCCAGTTATAGTTGATCACATAGCCCGACAAAGTACTATTTCCTCAAAGTTGATTATGTTTGAACTTTTTTTACTCCTAATTAAACAAGGATAAAATTATTTCAAATATTTTCAAAAAAGAAAACTAAACATTATTATCTTTGTTATTGCTATGGTAGGCAGCTAAATAGAAATGTATATAAATGTCTATCAATCCTTTAAAATTACCTGTGGTATACAGACATGAGTGATAAAAGTAAAAACTGTAACAGAACAAAATGAGAAAACATTTAAGATTGTCCCTTCAGTGTGCAGAATTCATAGCAGTTTCTGGATATGGTACAGAAAACACTGAATCATCATCATCAGTTTTGAAAATACAAGACAAACACTTGCCTAGTCAGCACCAGGCCCAGGTTTAGTCTCTAGTACCTCAGAAAACAACAAAATTTCTGAGAGCTTCAGAAATCTCATTTTCCTGAACCTATATACCCTCTATGCTCCCCTAATGGCCTCTTTTTCTAACTATTCTCCCCCTCCAGTTTGCCACTTTTGAACCTCCAAGCATGGCATAGAACGCTCAAGGCCCAAGATTCTATACTGGCTGTTTGCTGGGGCCGCTAAACCACTATAACTGCCACACCAGTTTCACTTGCATACAAGGAAAGGAAGCAGCTAGGCACAGTGGCTCCCACCTCTGGCTAGCACTTGAGAGGCTGAGGCAGGAGGATTAGTCACTTGCTTGATGCTTGCTTGGGCTATGCAGTGAGTTCCAGACCAGACTGGGCTACAGAGTAAGGCCCTGTCTCACAAAAAAAGGAAGAAAAAAGAAAAAAGAAAGAAAGAAGAAGAAAAAAGAAAGAAAAGAGAGGAGAAAGCACCTTAATGTCTGTCTTGTAAAATCAAGGTAGAGGGATGTCTGCTCAGTCCATGGAGCAAAAAGAAGAAAAGTATGGTCAGAAGAATTGCCACAAAGTCCAAGAGAGGAGAAAACTTGCAGTCACAAAGACAAGTGAGAGCTGAAGAGAGATGTGAGCCCTCAAACCTGATACAACCCAGCCCAAGGAAGGTAGGATTCAAGGAGAAACTAAGAGATGCACAAGACGAGGCTCGGACCACATGCAGTGTACTCAGTGAGTCACAGAGTGCTCTGAGGTTCCATCCTTCCAAATTTGAAAGCCCTTGGGAGCTCCCATGAGTTCTCCAGCCAGACGAACTGAAATGCTTCCAAACAGACTTCAGTTGTTCACTGAGGCCTCTTCTTCCTTCTTCACCAAGGACATTATCTGTCTGTATAACATGCACTGATGCTACTTTATCTACTAGAAAATGCAACATCACATGCCATGGCTAAATGACTTTATTACTGAACACTTCTAAGAAACACTGAGATGATCTCCCTAATGTAAGAGCCCAGAGAAAGGGACCTGTCAGTCTGTGCTTCTGGGTCTGCCTTCCCAGCCCTCAGCCACGCAGGGCTATGGAGACTCTCTCACATTGTGTCACCCAGTCCCGCATTCTGGATGGCATCTAACCGTTCCTTTGCAGCTAACACTCTCCAGGAAGGTTGTACAAACATTGGAGTTTGGGATGCAGCGAGTATAAAGTGGAGTGCCTCCACCTGTCTGAGGTAACTGCTGTTTTGCTATTCCACTCTGCTCAGTGAAGTGTGTTGATGCCTTTGAGCTGTGAATATCTTGGCTTGGCCAGATGATAAATGGTATGAACTGTATCAAATCGTGTTTTAGTGAACAGAGTTCTGAGTATTTATCCAAAATGATTTCCTTAGTTAACTTTTGCTCAAATCTGAAAAAAAAAAGCAGTCATAGAAACTATCACTTATTTTCAGGTCAAAAAAAGGAAGAGAGAGAGAGAGACAGAGAGAGGGAGGGAGGGAGGGAGGGAGGGAGGGGGAGAGAGAGGGAGGGAGGTAGGGAGGGAGAGGGAGAGGGAGAGAGAGGGGGAGGGAGGGAGGGAGAGGGAGAGAGAGAGGGGGAGGGAGGGAGGGAGGGGGAGAGAGAGAGGGAGAGAGAGAGAGAGAGAGAGAGAGAGAGAGAGAGAGAGAGAGAGAGAACATAACAAGCTTCATGAGGGTTCACTGAATACAGGCATTGGGGTAAATGGAAGTAGGTGTTCAGAAAAAAATGGGCTATAACGTACTTCCTGGTCTCATAGTACTCTAGGCAGGCTCCCTAATGACAGTGAATGGCTGATTTGAATGTTAATGTTACATTGCTTGAACATTGAACTGTGGGACAAGGGTTGATTTTTGAGCCTGCTGGTCCTAGAATCATGGTTTTCTTGATTGGTAGAAGAGTAAACGTATTTGATCTGGACCAAAGCATATGATATTTTCTCTAACTTCTTCATAAGGTAGAGGTTTGTGATGCACACACAGCGTGTGCTGGACTGGTCTGTTGGGATGACAAGGCCCTGGTTTTGATGCTTTCTGTTTTCTCTGTCACAGAAGGAGCTTGTCCACACACTTGATTATCAAGACATCAGTCTCCCAGCATAAGGGTGGCACTGGATCCAACCCAGCTTGGAAACACAATCTTATGTTAACCTTGACTTTTCATCTTGTTTCTCCTGGGAAATAACATCACCCCCATGACATTGACCTACTGCAAAGAAGACCACGTAGAAGAGGGCTTCATCTTGTCTGACAAATACCTCACAGGAGATGCCTGCAGCGTCTGCTTTCTATGTAATACATTCATTTGTTTCATTTGTCCCTGTTCATCTCACAGCTGTTAAAAGTAGGGAACTCTGCAGTGTCATTGGGATTAATCAGGTTTCCTGGCAGCTTCTTCGAATGGGTTGTCCTTCCATTCAAAGTCATGAGGACAGAAGGTGGTGATGTCACTGCCTGTGCCCACATGGTCCACATGTTAGAAGGGTTGGTAGCTAAATGGGATGCATCTGTGTTGATGAGTGTTTTTATTGTTCTTTCTTTACTAAAGCAGGTGGCCACACAGTTAATGGTAGTATCCTAGCAGAACCTGAATTCCTCATGTCTACTCATTTTGTGGCAAATTGAATGACACGGGAAAGGGGCTTTCTTTTTAACCTTGCTAGAACCACGCCACCAGCAAGACACTTGTGGATCACCTGCACTCTGTGAGGCCCATCACATAAGGCCTTTCCCTGAGCTCATCAGTTTTGGGTAGGCAGTATAAATAGAAGATTCTAGGATTGTCACCAGGGAGCAGTTCCTAGAGTCCCAGTGACAAGAGCAACGTAATTCGAGGAAGAGAATGATGGCAAAGGTCTGCTCAGTCATGTCTAGTCTCGTCTTTAGTATACCAGGTTCTAACTGTAAGACTCTCAAGGGCTCAGGAGGGGTTTCCCAGGCAGGATTTTATTGATCTTTGCAGAGCTATTTTCACAGAGTAGGACACATCACTTTCCTCTCCTACAGAGCAGGGAGCAATCTCAGGACTTAGTGAGCAGCTCACATTCTTAAGTTTGCAGTGATACACACACCCCAGGTTTTACAAGCACTACTTCATGGTTCCTTCTCCAGCACAGGTTCTTTCATTCTCCATTTAGTAGTGCTCTGCAACTTAAAGGCAGTCTTTTGAGATTATGGCCATGAGCCATCCTATTCTTCGGTTATTTGTATTATTGTATTTTGAATAGATAACATACACATTTGACAGAACTGAGTGCTGGGATGACAGGTACACACCACAGTGTCTTCTTGGGTGTCCTTTTGGATATGGTGTTTGTTGTCGCCTACTTGGTTCTGGAGAAGGGCACAGGCCTTCCTCTCCAGGAATGGAGGAGGAGGACAAGGCTTTTCAGAGCATGCCTCTTATTTCCAGCACCTCTAGACTCTTTCATGCAGGGGCGACATGACCAGCAATCTCAGGGAACTGTGAACATTTTGTGTGTGTGTGTGTGTGTGTGTGTGTGTGTGTGTGTGTGTGTGTGTGTGTGCGCGCGCGCGCGCGCGCGCAACCTAATCATTATTGTTTCCTTCCTCAGTCTCAATAAAAAATTGTACAAGGACTGTGACTATAAGCCTTCTACTTCATCCCTAAGGGGGAACATGCCTTAAAAGTGGGTCTTCATTTTCACTGTGGTCCATCTAAAAGCTTCAGGGCATCAGAGAGTGACTGAGATGTAAACTGTAGGGATTCGGAGCATCCGTGTGGGAGAGAAGATCTGGGACTGCCTCTGGGAGGGGTGACAGGGTCAGGCTAAGGTGGTGTGTGAGATGCAATTCTTTCTCACTTAAGTGACATTGGAACTGTCCTAACTCCGCTTCTGTTTTGTATGACAGAGTTTAAAGAACACAGCCCCTCCCTAGAGCTGAGCTACTCATTTCGGACTCTTGGAAAAAAACACAGCAGCGGTTACAAGGTACACCTCATACACAGTCAGTGATAACAGCACTGGAGCAGGAGAAAGTGCCTTCATGTCTCAGGCTGTACCCTGGGGTGGTAGCTTGACTCTGTGATTTTAATGTGCTAGTTTATCAGAGGGGCAAAGATCAGTAATTTAAAAACAAAACAGAATAGAGGTGGTCAGTGGAGACATCAACCAAATTTAGCCTGCTTGTCCAAGAGGGACGGAAACCTCCCATTTTCTGCAAAAGCCACAGGAAGAAACCTAACCATTGTGAAAATCCTCACCATGACTTACGATTTCTGAACTCATGATTTGGAAGTTTGACTGATGTGCGGTTATACTTAAAGCTGTTTGTAATACGTGATATTTTTTGACAGTACCCACTAAGTCATGTCTGGAACAGGTAGTATAAGCTTGTGGAGAGCATCCGGGGCTCTGCAGGGCTCCCATGCTGGGAGAAATATGCACAGTAGGCACCCACACGCTGCTGTGTAGCTGTCTTCTGGGCTGTTTCACATGCTGATGTTGGTAGTCGGCAGAGGGCTAAGCAGCTCTGAGCTGTTCATTTCTAAGTTGCCTGGTGAGGGAAAGAAGTTTATGACTTGATAGTTTATGTTATAAACGTCACTGGGTTGACATGATCATCAGAAACATTTTAGAGGCTTCATTTCCAGTTCAAATTCGCCAGAGCCCCCAAGGCAGCAGGTGTAATTCTAGACTTGGACTTACCATTTAGCCTGTTCAGGATACAAAATACCCATACTGACACAGGCACGGAATGGAACTATGGGCAGCAAGTAATGGGGGACAGACAGAGTATGTCAAGCTTTTGGTAAAGAATACAGTGTAGGGTTGGAGAGGGAACTCCGTTTGTAAACTGATTGCTTGGTAAGCTAGACTTGAGTTCTAGCCTCAAAACCCGTATAAAAACAACAGTATCAAAATTCAGAAGGGTGATACCTGCTTGTAATCCCAACCCCTGGGGCTAGCAGGCCAGTCAGACCAGCCAAATGTGTGAATTTGGGAAACCTTGTCTCTTCCTGAAAAAAAAAATCAAATGGACTGCATCCAAAGATTGAGCCCAAAAGCTGATTTCTAAGCTCCACACACATGTACACACATTGTACATATACCCATACAATATGAATATTAATATGCACACACAAATAGACACACGGACACAGACATACATATGCACAGAGAGAGAGAGAGAGAGAGAGAGAGAGAGAGAGAGAGAGAGAGAGAGAGAGAGAGAGAGAGAGAGAGAGAAACATACAAAGAATAAAGTGCAATAGGGTACCAAGAAGAGCGGGACTTTAGTTGTCCTTGAAGACTGCTGTATGCTAGCTCAGTAGAGGGTGGATGTGGCTGCCTCCATGACTTTAGGAGTATCAGGGAAAGCAAGACTTCTGGGCTGGGAAATAAGACACAAGCAGGACTACAGGTTGGACATCTCCATGCTTTTCCTTCTGAGATGTGAAGTGTTAGCCTTAATGTTTTTCTCTCTGTAGGAAAAAAGTGGAGGAGTTTGCTGAGAGGGTTATCCTATCAAAAGAGCTGGAAAAACTGACAGCAACTTCTAAAGTTCTGGGACACAGATTGTCACCCCCCTGGGCTACTGGCCCCTGATAACTCCTCTTGGAGATATCCCTGCAGCATTGGGAATAAACCACACAGGCTGAAACCTGTTACACAGACACTACACCAACCCAGTCGCACCTGCCTTGTGACTTGGAGTATCCTTGAGACGATGTCTTCATCACATTTGTGTCAGCCACACGGGATGAAACCTGCTACACAGACAACACGCCGGCTAAGCCATCACTAGTTGGTGATGTGGAAGATCTGTGTGGAGATGTGGTCCCTTTGACATCTGGCTCAGATGCACAAGCTAAAGAGAATTCATGCTTATTAGGCCCGGTAAGTAACCACCGGCTCCCTACTGTGTGAAAATGTAGTCCCCACATGGTGTGTGTCAACCACACAAACTTCTGCCTGTGACCCAGACACTCCCAGCTAAGCCAACACAGCTTTGTGTTTTGGAAAAGCCCTTATAGCTGTGGTTCCCGCCACCTCTGGGTCTGCCCCACCGGCTTCCCAGACGGAAGTAAAATAACAAGGTAAGTCATCCCTGGTGCTAGGGTCCTGCAGCCCAGAGCGCTGAGCAACACAAGAAGTGTGCGTCTGCTTGCTGATGTCTTCCTCTGTCTGATGTCTTCCTCTGTCTGATGTCTTCCTCTGTCTGATGTCTTCCTCTGTCTGATGTCTTCCTCTGTCTGATGTCTTCCTCTGTCTGATGTCTTCCTCTGTCGGATGTCTTCCTCTGTCGGATGTCTTCCTCTGTCTGATGTCTTCCTCTGTCGGATGTCTTCCTCTGTCTGATGTCTTCCTCTGTCTGATGTCTTCCTCTGTCTGATGTCTTCCTCTGTCTGATGTCTTCCTCTGTCTGATGTCTTCCTCTGTCTGATGTCTTCCTCTGTCTGATGTCTTCCTCTGTCTCTCTTGCTAGCACTGTCCCGCTTACTCGGCTTTGGCTACAGTGCTGTGTCTTTTAGCTCGTGTGAAGCCAAGCCCGTTTTCAGATCCTCAACCTTTAAGGATTCTACGGAAATTTGAAGGACTTGGTGATTGTAGGTGGCTTTTTGATGAAGCAACTTTGAGATGTCTATACCACTGTGCGGAACAGACTGAGGGAGAGAAAGAAAAGGCGGGCTGCTGAATTGTGCTGGCCCTGAACTTCCCTAATTTTGAAGGGGATTGATTAGTCAGGGCAAATACTGTGTATGGGAGGTGATAACTCAGCTTATCCAGAAGTATTGATCTTCTTTACATAGCAACTGACGACCAAGAAGATAGCAGCAGGTAGAAATAGTGAAGAAATCTTGTTAGATTAAATTTGTGAGAGTAGGAATCAACTTTTGAGTAGCAGTCATTAAAAAGAAAGTCAGTTTTGTGGAAAATCCATTTCTAAATACATGAAAGAAAGACGAGAAGGTGGTCTGGGCTCCAAGGCTCCTCCGGCCCTCGTAAGCCTCCACTGGGCTTTCCTCCCTCGTCTGTGTTCTGGGGAACATTCCCTAGATGGTCTTACCCAGAGGTTTGTTAATGTCTGTCTTCTATGCAGACTCTCTCCACTTCTGACTTCCCTGATTGTCTTGGTTTCTCCAGCTGTGCCCCTTCAGTCATTGATCAAACCCTACATAAAACTCCCAGGGCTGTTTTGAGTTCATGCACTGTGTAGTTTATTGGATGGTATAGCCACGTGTCAAGAGTTGGACTTCTGGAGGCCTTGAGTCCATCTCATATCTATGAGGGCAATTGGTCTAATGGAGTCTGAAGGGCTGAGCAGGGCCCAGCAGCAGCCTGAGTTCTGCAGGATGGAGACAAGAACACTGGTGGTATGGCTCAGTCCGTGTCGAAAAAACGCAAAATCAAGGAAGCCGAGTGTGCACTCCACATCCTGGAGTGCAAGGGCCGGGAGACCAGAGCTCTGATGCCTAAGGGCATAGAATGAATGCACCAGTTCAAGGGCAGAGACAGGGTTGAACTCTCCTTTCCAGACCTCTTTCCTCCTAGCCAGCTCCCACGGGGTGTGTGGTGACCGCCATATTGAGAACGGACCTTGCCTACCCAGACCACGCACGTGCACCGGCTTGTGTTCTGGCTGCACCCAGACACAATGCTTTGTCCGCTCAAGCTGACGCTACAGTCCACGGTGGCAGCTGCTGGTCATCTGTGGCCAGTGGCTGGAGAAGAGGCTTCACATGTCCCCTCTCTGGTGCCCTGAGGATGGGGAGGTGCTCACAGCCTGAAGCTGAGGTTAATCCTGGTCACTTAGCCTCTATCTTCCAGGGCTGCCAAATGATTTCTTCTTGGGAGACATGGGTTCATGGACTCAAATATTTTCCCACTTATGCACCACAGCTGATTGTGCCCCGTAATCTCTGCTTCAAGTTTCTAGAGTCCACCAGAGCCAGTATCACTTGAGGAACAAAAAGTTGTGGGGTGCTATATGCAAGACACTGGTTAAAAAAAAATACAAACTCTGCTCAGCTGAGATACTATGTCTTCCCTCTTGGCCTCCTGTGACTCTCGGAAAAGACACCCAGGGTGTGATTCTGTGTCCATACTCTCACTGTAGGACACAGTTACCTTGAGTGTGGTGACTTAGTATTTAGCCACTTTTCAGAGTCCCTGGGGTTGAAAAGCTGGCTTTAATGCTGTACTTATTCCTTCCTAGCAGGAATGGTTGCCCATACCTGTAAACCCAGCCCTTGGGACTCTGAAGCAGGAGGCTTTCCACAAGTTTGAGGTCAGCCTGGGCTAGAAAGGGAATTCTGAACACCTCTTTAGAGGTGGACCAGGAAATATAAAATAGGGGTAAGGCTTGGTATGTGCCCTCGCAAAGTGCTTAGTCTCTTTGTAGCATCAGCAGTCACACCAAAGGATGAGGAGCATGCTGAACGGCGAGGGCAGCAGCATCCCTCAGAACTCTGAGGAGGGAGAGATCCCTGAGTGCAGAAATTAAGGAACCCACTGCCCACTGCTGAGTGAGCCAGAGGAGAAGGGCTGAAGAGGGAAACTACAATAGATCTGAGGAGAAGAGGGATAGGCTTGTCCTTGGAGCAGCTCAAGAATTCAAGCTTGCGTGTTTGGCTGCTGCAAGAACTCTTCTAGGGCTGTCTGTTGCCCCAGCTTGTGCAGAAAGGGAGTTCTAGGGTGCTTCTCATCATCTGTTGCCTTACAGAGTGACAATGCACGTGAGCAGCCAAGGCTGCGAGCCCCAAGGGAAGGATTCTGGAAAACAAAAGGCACTGATGCTGAAGGGCCATCAACTGGGCAGATTTTTTAAAAATTGCCACTTTAGAGTATCCCAGGGAATTGTGATCAACTGTTTTTGCCTTTGCAGGTGAGAAACCAAGGCCTGAGTACACGTGTGATAAATACTCTCAGTACAGGAGGATGGTCCTGACTCAGTGAAGATCGTCCCCCAGTGGGTTTCTGACCTTATGCTGGATCCATGTATGCAAATGTGACTCGCCAAGGGCTCTTCCTGCCTTCTTGTCATTTTAGAAAGAAAGATACAATTCTGTCTGTCAGCAGAATAAATCTAATTTAGATTACCCATCTCCCCTTGCATGTGGTTCTCAGCACATTTGACTGCTAGTGTTCCGTTACTGGGTCATGAACATTTCCCAGGGCTTCTACATTTCCCCTCAACTTTATTATTGACTGGTTACCCCATCTCTTAAATATAAAATAAAATCTGTGCCAGCAACTTTCAAGCACATACCACATTGTTTTGTGCAATATACTCACCGTTTTACATTAAAGCTCTTGAACTTACAAAGAACTCAACAGCCTTTTCACACACTTGAGTTAATCCTGTTTGGTCACAGTGCTGGGAGAGAACCTGTGAATTCCAAAAGTGTTCCTCTTGGTTGTAGACAGCTCTGCCTTTGAAGAGTTGGGGACAGCTGTGGGGAGCTCCTTAGCCCTGACTTCCTAGGTAGACAATGCATGAATGTCTGCATTTTCTGAGAAGTCTATGACTTGTTTTCACCCAACCACGCCAGGCAGCCTTTTCATCTAGTACATATTTACATATGAGCCACACACACCGCTTTCAGAGCCCACCAAACGCAGTGAGTACATGGTGATACTGGGTGTTACAGGGAGGGAAAGGTTGGGACCTTAAAAATAAACCCCATAAAATATAGTATTAGCTGGTATGGTGGTTTGAATAGGTATGGCCCCCGTGAGTTATGTGTTTGAATGTTTGGTCATAGGAAGTGGCACTATTAGGAGGTGTGGCTTGTTGGAGGAAGTGTGTCACTGTGGGGGTGGCTTTGAGGTCTTTCAAGCTATGCCCAGAGTAGGACAGTTCACTTCCTGTTGCCTGTGGCTCCAGGTGTAGAATTCTCAGCTACCTCTCCAGCACTATGTCTACCTGCACGCCACCCTGCTTCCTGCCGTGACGACAATGGACTAAATCTCTGAACTGTAAACCAGCCCCAATCAAATGTTTTCCTTTATAAGAGCTGCCGTGGTCATGGTGTCTCTTCACAGAAATAGAAACCCTAACTAAGACAGCTGGCTGCTTTGAAAGGCTTCCTTTAAACCCCATATTCTTCTGAACCCAATTTACCCTTAAAAAGATGTGTCAGTGGCAACTTTGTTGGTTTTCTAAGAAAGCCCCTCAAGAAGTCTGAACTACTTGATTTGAAGAGATGAGATTTCCGAGAGGCTGAAGTGAAATCATCCAGCATCAGACATGGTCTCAGAATGTGGCTTGTTTTCCCTTCCTGTATTCATCCAGTTCATGCCGGTGAGAGGTAGCAGTAAGTCAGCCAGGCCTCTCTCTCTCGTAATTAGTCGATTTTCATGCTCTTGCTGTTATCACACAAGCCACTGTGACTATTATTTCACCATTCTGCCTCTACCCCTCCATCTCCTGCCCATTAGTCAGACTGAATACTTTCAGTTGATAAATTGCTTTGGTTATTAGGTTTTTTTCTTTCTACTCATTTCTGTTGAGTTACTCTAGGGAATTTTTCACCTTAGTTAAAAATTTCAGATCAAAAATTCCCATTTAATTCCTGTTAATCTCTAGACAAATCATCCTTTATCTGTGGCCCACTTACCAGAGAACTCTTAAGTCAGTATCCTGTGCATGTCCCTGGTGGGGGTGTGTGGGGAAGGGCAGGAGAGGGAGAGAGGGAAAGGAAGGAGAATAGAGGAGGGGAGAGGAGATGAAAGGAGGGTTAGCTGTGTGAAGAAATGGGTGAAAATGAAAAGACATTTGGGAATAGCAGTTCTGATGGTACGAGGTGATTACTTTTATGCTATATCTGTTAACACCCTGTGGCTGCTGAAACAAATTACCACAAACCTGGTGGTTCTTCCACCATGTAGGGGCAGTAAATCTGCTGTCAGGACTGTATTTCCCCAGACAGGCCTGCAGGAGAACCATCCCTGAGTCATTTCCAGTCTCTGCGTGTTCCAGACTTTCCTGGAGCTTTGATTGCGGAAGCCTAGTCCCTGTCTCAGGCTCCACACACCTTCTGTGTGTCTCTTCTGAGTTTCATAAGAGGACAGTTGCCTTAGCATGGGACTTTCCCATCTGCCTGCATCTTGAATTTGTCTGTTCTTGGAGTCATCATTTAGGCCAGTGGTTCTCAACCTTCCTAACGCTGTGACCCTTTAATACAGTTCCTCATGTTGTGGTGATCCCCAACCATAAAATTATTTTGTCATTACTGTTATGAATGAATTGTGATGTAAACATCTGACATGTAACCCATGTGGGGCTCGAGACCAGCAGACTGAGAGACTTGATCTAGGCACTTCCCTCAAATGGGCCACGTGGCGTTACCTTCATGCAGTGCATTTGGACCAGCCCACAGGGCTCCAGGTTGGGAAGTGGGAAGAGCCCAGCTTCCTCAGCAGCCCTGATTTCCTTATAGCCAGCAAGGGCCAGCCAGGGCACTAAGGTAGCTTCATTGTCCACAGTGCAGCAAGAAGAAAGACAGCAGCTTCCCCAAGGGGCTTCTGGGTGCAACTAACAGAAGGGAAGCCAGGCTGCAGGGGTGTAGCAGGAGAAGGGAAAGAGACAGCAAGATTTCCACATGTTCAGCCATCTGCCCCGGAACACAAAACTGTTCCAAACGGACAGGATTCAGCCATCTTTTACAAGGTGGCTTCCCTCTCCTCCTGGGCTCCTGGGAAGTGGGGTGCATGCATCAGAGATGGCGGAGAGGAGCACAGAGGTACAGGGGAGTAAAGGGACTAGGCAGTGCTGGTGCTCAGGGAGGACCAGGGGTGACCAAGACACTTAATGTGCACCTTGGTTCCTGAGCTGTGCGCTCTGGGGACAATTTGATGATGCTCACAGTATACTCCCATTGAACAAGAGCCTCCATGTGGCCCTCCACGTGCAGGGCCCGGTTACTCCTGAGATGTACTTCACCTGATAGCTCAGTCACCTTCTGGTCCCACCGTAGCCCCAGAGATTAGACTTTCTTTTCAGATTTTAACATTTTATTTCCTCTCTGTCTTTTATAAAGATCATAGGTTATTTCCCAGATTAGAGCTCCTGGCTGTCCCAGACAAAACTTTCTCAGTATAGGGTACCTGGGTATGACTCACAAAACCCTGTGTCCCTAATGCTCCGGAAACACATAAGATTCCCGGGGGCGGTGTCAGGGAGTTATTCTACATTCCCTCCAAAGCTGACTGTGAGATGGGACCTGAGTGTGGAACCCTGGGAAACCAAGTGGGAAAGGAACGGATGTTGGTCAGGGACAGGAAGAAACAACAAACCCTGCTGCCCTTTCATCTCCAGGAGGCCAGGGCCTCTGAGGTGTCTGAGGGCTTCAGGACTTCCCTGCAGGGTCTTGGGGAGACTCCAGCTGAGAAGGGAGGAGGCAATGCTGCAGCTGCAGGTAAGCTAAGGGTAGCCAGGCTTGGGTTGAGCTCTATGCAGTGAGTGGGGCAGGTTTGTCTTGGGAGCTGAACAAGACTTGTATTATGGGAGGAGGGAAGGAAGAATGGGAAATGAGTCAGGATCCACACAAAAGCTCAGCCAGGCTTTGATGGAGGCCGTTCTGTCTCCCCAGCTCTGGCTGGTGGGGCGCCAACTGTGTCTAATTGTTTGAGGGTTGAACTTGCCCCCAAATGATGGTGACACCATAACCCAGGGCCCTGGAGTCTGGTTCTACCTTCCGTAACAAGACAAAATGATTGTGGTTCTGCCCTTGGGGACTGTGGAAGTTTGAATAAGAATGGCTCCCACAGGCTCATATATTTAAATGTTTGGTCCTCGGTGGAACTGTTTGGGAAGGATTAAGAAGTGTGGCCTTGTTGGAAGAGGTGTGCCACTTGGGGTGGGCTTAGCTCTCTCTCTCTCTCTCTCTGTCTCTCTCTGTCTCTCTCTCTCTCTCTGTCTCTGTCTCTGTCTCTCTGTCTCCTCTCTTCTCCTCTCCTCTCCCCCTCCCCTCTGCAACTTGCAGATCAGACGTGGGTTCTTAGCAACTTCTTCAGCACCGTACGTGCCATCACATACTCTGCCGTGATAATCATGGACTAATCCTCTGAAACTTTAAGCAAGCCCCCAACTAAATGCTTCCTTTTATAAGTTCCCTTAGTCATAGTGTCTTTTCGCAGCAACAGAACACTATGACAGAGACTTAGCTATCAAAGCTTAAAACAATTCCAAAGGTGGTTTTGATGAGATTTCATAGTAAACTCAAAACACAAAAAATGATGGCTGAGGCCAGCTTCCAGCAATATCAAGGGGACAGATTCCACTCTCCACTATACAAACATCTTTTATTTGCATGTGGCCATTCAGGAAATATTCCATGGTGAACATCACAAACAGCTGCCAGACTACAAAATAAGAGATAGGTGTTGACTTCTCAAGATGTCAGGGCAATTAGTAAGTGACTGGTAAACAATAGTGAGGCCGAGTTGCACCCCTCACCCCTCCCAACACACCCGAATGGAGAAAACTTAGATTCAGTTCATTCCCTTTTGGCAATTATCTATTTAGGGAGTCGTGGGACTGTGTCCTGTTGGCCTGTTGGGTGAGAAAACCCAGTCATGCTGGCCCCTTGGCAAGGGGCTGAGACCCTCCCGGGTGGTGACAGGTTGGAAAGCCCAGCTTGCTCTGGGAGTATTCACTTGACTTCATACTTTTCTTCTCACAAGGCCTGTTCTTAGAAAAATGACCTCCAAACACAAACTCCCTTCCATGATGAATCCTGAAGACTGGCCCCATCCAGAGGGTGCCCAGGAAGAGTTAGGGGCACACAGAAGTCAGCACAGACCTCCAGAGGGGTCCTTCCAGAACCGGTGCCACAATATAGCAACTACTGCTTCCTGCTGTGTTTCTGGGAGGAGCTGGAAGGTAAATCCATGGTAAATCTCCTTTGTTGAAGTCTTTCCCGAAGGAGGAGAAATCTTCTGGTCTTTAAATTGGTCTATGAGGCTCCACACAGGCACACTGAACCCAGCAGTTTCTGAGGTACCTGGCTTATGCATTAACTGGCTGTGTCTTTCCCATTCTGGGACTCCCCAAACCCAACTGTGTATTTCTCCCATAAATTTACCCTCAGAATTGGTTTTATATACATTTTCCTTGGATCTTTAATGCAGAGGAAGTAGGGGTGAGGTTGGGGTAAATAGGCAGGGCTGGACAACTGCTCCAGGGCAGCTGCAGAGGCTACAAGGAAGGTCCATGCGAGGGCGTTAGACCTCAGGCCTTCATGGAGCCTCGATTATTTTGGAAAATAGGATTGAATATTTCTAAACTTATCGTGGGGAGCACCATTGCCGAGACAAAAGGTCCTAAACAGGTGTGATTGGCAGAGCTGGTATTTTGAACGGTGAGGAGTTCAAAGTTGGTTTTCTTGAAAAGTGAGTTCATGGTCAGGAAACTTGAAGAGGCAGTCATCTTCAGGGAGGGGGTGGGATGGCTCTTCAGGGTAGGGGCCAGTCATTGTTGGTGGCAGAACAGTTTTCTCATAGTCACCATGAGGAGTAAGAATGTCCAAAGAGAAAAATGCCAAAGTGAGTCTCCTCACACATTTCAGAAAGATAGTCTGTTGACCCCATGGGTGGCTTGGTGGATCTTCCATTTATCACCTGAATGGGAAACGGCAGGACCTGCTTTGGGGGATAATCACACACAGCCCCCAGAAAGTGAGTCTCACTGGGTTGTTTCTCCTGCACTTCAGTGGTAATAGATGCTGAAGGCGTGCAGAATGTAGAGCAGGGTGGTGAGGAAGGCGAAGAACTGGAGGAAGACAGGCAGAGTTAGAGAGGGCAGTGTAGCCCCACCCTCAACCCCAGGGGCTCCGGATCCTCACCGGCCTTGTGTTCCCTGCGTGGCCTGAGAGCAGCAAGCACTGGCAGTCACTCTGCCCTCTGATATCCTCCAATTGTACAACCTGGGCCTCTTTACCTGTCTATAAATCTATCCTCCTCCCTCCCTGTCTGGGACCTGTGGCATGCTGAGCTGAGCCCATTTCCAATATGAGCCTCTGTGCTCAGGCCACTCCCACAGCTATTTTTTTTCTTTTTAATGATTTTTCGAGACAGGGTTTCTCTGTGGCTTTGGAGGCTGTCCTGGAACTAGCTCTTGTAGTCCAGGCTGGTCTCGAACTCACAGAGATCTGCCTGCCTCTGCCTCCCGAGTGCTGGGATTAAAGGCGTGCGCCATGCTCACTGGCCCTGAACTCTGCTAGGAGCACCTGTCTGTGAATGTCTCAGGTTCTCCCAGAGCTCTTAATGGCCCACAATGGTCTCCTAAAGCCATCCCTTCCAGCTACCAATGACAAAACCTCCTTCCATCTAACTGTCATGGCCAAAGCCAGCCTCAAAGTCTGCTATCTGACTAGCTCTTGGTATGTCCCCACCTCCTTTGTCTCAGCCACCATCATCCCTTACTAGGACTTCTCAGGTCCCCAGTTCATCTGCCGACCCTGCCTCTTCTATTTTGTTCCATCAGAAAAACATGACCATAATTAAAATTGGGCTTAAACTGACACAGTGGTTCTCCTTAGGATGGAGGTCACTCTATCCTCACTAGCCTTCCTTCTGTTCATTAATCCTCTGTTCCCATCTGTCATCCATCCACCCATCCATTCATCTGTCCATAAATCCATCTGTCCAGTCTGCCCATCTACCAATCCATTCATCCATCCACCCACCATCATGTATCCATCCATCCATGCATCATCCATCCATCCATCCATCCATCCATGCATCATCCATCCATCCATCCATGCATCATCCATCCATCCATCCATCATCCATCCATCCACCCACTCATCCATCCATCCATCCATCCATCCATGCATCATCCATCCATCCATCCATGCATCCATCATCCATCCATGCATCCATGCATCATCCATCCATCCACCCATCATCCATCCATCCATGTATCCATGCATCATCCATCCATCCACCCATTCATCCATCCATGCATCCATGCATCATCCATCCATCTATCATCCATCCATCCATCCATCATCCATCCATCCATCCATCATCCATCCATCCATCCATCCATGCATCATCCATCCATCCATCCATCATCCATCCATCATCCATCCATCCATCCATCCATCCATGCATCCATCCATCATCCATCCATCCATGCATCCATGCATCATCCATCCATCCATCCATCCATCCATGCATCCATCCATCATCCATCCATCCATCCATCCATCCATGCATCATCCATCATCCATCCATCCATCATCCATCCATCCATGCATCCATGCATCATCCATCCATCCATCCATCCACCCACTCATCCATCCATCCATGCATGCATCATCCATCCATCCATCCATCTACCCATCCATCCATCCATCCATCCATCCATGCATCCATGCATCATCCATCCATCCATCCACCCATCCATCCATCCATCCATGCATCCATGCATCATCCATCCATCCATCCATCCATCCATCATCCATCTATCCATCCATGCATCCATCATCCATCCATCATCCATCCATCCATCATCCATCCATCCATGCATCCATGCATCGTCCATCCATCCATCCATCATCCATCCATCCATGCATCCATGCATCATCCATCCATCCATCCACCCATCCATCCATCCATCCATGCATCCATGCATCATCCATCCATCCATGCATCATCCACCCACTCATCCACCCATCCATCCATGCATCATCCATCCATGCATCCACGCATCATCCATCCATCCATCCATCCATCCATCCATCCATCCAACAACAAATAGCTTCAAAGCCCAAATAGCTACTGTTACAGCAGTGAGCAAGACATGAAAAAGTTCTTGCCATTAAGACGTATGTGGTGACACATGCCTTTAATGTTGCATCCAGGTGACTAAGTCAGGAGAAAGACAAGTCTGAGGCCAGCCTGGCTACATGGTGAGGCACTGTCACAAATATGAAAATAAGTAAATAAATATACCTGCCTCACAGTGGTTACATTTTTTAGCAAGAAGCCAGGTGAGCAGGTCCTCTACAAATAGTCCATATGGGAATAAAGCTGGGAGAGTAGGAGGCAGAGTGGACAAAGTGGGATGTTGGGTGAGGGTTGTGGAAGGGTGGTGTTTGGTGGGAAAGGAGCTTGCCTTGCTGATCTGATATGTGGACAACACTACCTAGATCCTGAATGACAGAGTATGTCTTTCTGGGGATAGCAATGAAGCCTGATCGGGAGCCAGCAGCAGTGGCAAGGCTACCCAAAGACCTTCCCTGGGACTATGAGTTTAATGAAATCCAAGAGCTTTGACAAAAAAGGAAGGGGTCAGGGAGGGTGGAAGGCAGCTGGGGAATGCTGTGGCCTTCCCAGGGGCCCAGAGTATCTGTCTGGTACCCTGTTCTTACTCTGGAGACAGTGCCCCCCAATGCAGCCTTTGCCTGTAGCATGGCGTGGGAGCCTGTGGAAGTCAAAGGTGACATGGGTCATTCACACTTGGCTTCCTGTCACAAGAGAGCATCATTTCACAGTAGAGGAAGATACAGGTGGGCTCAGAAGCCTACCACTTGTGTGCCACTGCCTGGGCATCAGGCTCTTTTCACAATTTGCTGTGCCCATCTTGCCTTAGCTTCCATCACTTAGCAATGACATTTCTGTGGACTTTTCTGTCATTGAAACAAAGGACCTAGAATAGCTGACTGTGCCCAGCAACTCAGGCTCCATTGCAAGGCAGCTGAGCCACTTAGCAGACATCAGCAAGAAAAGGAAAATGTGGTTCTGTTAATCTGGGGAAAGAACAAGATTTTGATGACTGTGGGGAGCAGGCTGAGTGGGACAAACACAAGACAAGAGGTGGCCCTTGCAGTTTGGACACATGCACACATATACACTGTCCTTCCTTCAGTCTCCTGCAGCCTGACACAGCTGTACAAAACACTCGTGACAGCGTTGAACTGCATGTAATAAATGCCCTCCCTGTGCGCATGTCTGTGTCATTGCCATAGGTGCACAGCTACTCACTGAGGCTGAAGTATTGATGTAGTATTGGGTTGTGTCACCATTCTCAGAAGTGATAGTGGCGTGTACTTGCAGGACAGCGGCACTCATGTACAGGATGCCTGTGGTTCCATGGTACAGACTGTCCTGGAAATGCAGAGCAGAGGCAGGGACCAATGTTATTCAACTGAGCACCTCCCCTCTCTCTTCCTACACAGTAGGGAGGAGGGGGAGAGAAGCAAACCAATCCCCTACTGCCCTTTCTTTGTAGCCCCTGTGTGTGTGTGTGTGTGTGTGTGTGTGTGTGTGTGTGTGCTTGTGTGTGTGTATGTGTGATATGTGTGGTGTGTGTGTGTATGTGTGTGTGTGTGTGTGTGTGTGCGTGTGTTGGGGAGGGGACACAGGACACATGTGGAGGTCAGGGGATAACTTGTGGTAGTTGGTGCTCTCCTTCTACAAGGTGAGTTCCAGGGATTGAACCCACGTTGCCAGGTTTGGCAGCAGACCCTTTCACTTGCTAAGCCAACTCGATAGCCCCTGATCTTAGTTTTGATTCTCTATGTTCTGTGGTCAACACAACAGGAATGTCCTGCTGAGACTGAGATGTTCATTAGCTCTTGAAGGAATGTACATCATCTGATCTGCATTTTGTAACCTCTAAGAAAGTGTAGATTACACACCTTGTGGCATGCCCTTGGAAGGCAGAAATTCTCTTGTCCCCAGTGCTCATCTCACCATGGGATCACTGGGGTCACAGATGTGACCCACTTCACAGGGCTTTTTGAAGGTTATAGAGATCAAATGAAGGTCTTTACGCTTTCACTTTACTGGCTAAGCCATCACCCCAGTCCAGATTATTTTTAAGAGACAGGGTCTTCCTATGTTGCCTAGACTGGCCTTGAACATCTAGGTTCAATATATCCTCTTGTCTCAGCCTTTTAAGTCACTGGGAGACTATAGGTACACACTGCTTTACAATATGTTTTAGTTTCATCCAAGTGTTTGGGTGTTTTGCCTACATATGTATGTGTAGGTATAGATAAGCATATATATGTATATGTATTTCTATACACCACATACATACCATGTCCATGGAGGCCAAAAGAAGGATGTCAGATTCCCCCCCTGGAGTTACAGAAGGATGTGAGCCTTCTGTGGATGCTGGGAACTAAACCTGAGTCCTCTGCAAGAGCAACAAGTGCTCTTTACTGCTGAGCTATTTCTCCAGGTAATAGTTTTAACTTCAGGAAAGTGTGTACAATCCTAACTAGGAAGGGGTGGAGGGAAATACAAGGAAAGGTTTACAAATATGTTTTCACTTTGAATTAGTAATCAGCACAGTAAAATCAGAAGCCTCGGTTTTCTAGGCATCTATTCCCAGTAGGGTCTCTAATCCCAGAACGCCCATTCTCCCTCCCCACCTGGAGAAGCCCACTGTCCTTTCACACCAGGACACCAGTCCAGGGGTGCCCCACCCCTGGTTCTTACCAGGACCCTCCATGACTGGAAACGTTTGTAAAACCCCAACAAGTAGGACATCAAGAACATCAGGGAGATGAGAAACGAGGTGAGTGACACATACAGCACCCATCCGTGCAGCAAAGGTTTCGCTATGTGTGTAGCAGCCACCAACGTCCAGACCAAGAACCCAAACACCTGTAAGAAGAGAAAAACGCAGAAGGGGCTTCGTTTGTGTTTTAGTTAGGGTTTCCACTGCTGTGAAGAGACACCATGACCAGGGCAACTCTCACAAGGAAAGCATTTAATCGTGGGGGCTCACTTACAGTTTCAGAGGTTCACTTAATTATCATCATGGCAGGGAGTATGGCATCGTGCCGGCAGAGGTGGCGCTGGAGCTGAGACTGCTACATCTTACAGGCAAAAGGAAATCAACTAACTGGGCGGTATCCTGAGTATAGGAAATCTCAAAGTCCGCCCCACAGTGACCCACTTCCAACAGAAGGCATGGCCCAGATTAAAGGTGTGTCCTCCAGCCTCAAGGTCAGGATTAAAGGTGTGTGCCATCCAGTCTCCTCCCACAAGACCGACCACACTTCCTCCAACAAGACCACACCTTCTAATAGCGCCACTCCCTATGAGTTTATGGGTGCCAAATACATTCAAACTACACAGTTTGCTAGTGTGCGGGTGGGAGGGGGTCCCTTTGCAGAACTTCCCTCACTAAAAGCTGATCTAGGGGGTCAGAAAGTAGACTGAGGAGTTTGCACTCAACCCTAACACCCGGAGTTTCATCTCTGGAACCCACATCAAGAACCCACTCCCCCAAGTTGTTCTACACATGTGCATCCTGGCATGTGTCCTTGTGCACACAGAGGAAGGCTGGCGTCTCTGAATCGCGGTCAAGTTCAATCCTGTAAAATTAAAGGCGTTGACTAGCCTTGCAAAAGGAGAGAATCTCCAGTCAAGTCTGACCATGTCTTTTAGTCTAAACAGTGTTGATAAATAGTTTTTAAGATGGTCTGAACAAGTTGTCAAAATCTAAAACAGGACTTTTCACATGAAAAAGATTAATTTTTTTTCTTTAGAAATCCATGACTCAGTGACTCAGAGTGTACAGATTGAGCTGTGACGGCATCTTTTAAAAGGACCCGGAGGAGCTGGAGAGATGGCTTAGCAGTTAAGAGTGCTGGCCACTCTTCCAGAGGACCCAGGGTTGACTCCTAGCACTCACACGATGACTCACTATTTGGGACTCCTTGCGTGGGATCTGACACCCTCTACTGGGCTCCTTGGACACCAAAATTGTGCGGGCAAAACATGCATACATGTAAGTAAGAGGACCTAGAGTCCATAGCAAGTCTCTTCCTCTCCACCAACCCCATGCCAGCCTGTGGCAGGCTCCTCTCAGTTGCTTCTTCCCCTGCCCACTGAGGGCCTTCCTGACCCTGGGAGCACTTGGCTTAGGGTCCTCAGGTCATAGTGACTGATGTTGTGGGATCAGTTGCCAGTGTTTAGTGTAGTTCCAGTTAATACCTCTAACTCTGTCTGGGTATTTGTTGTCTCCTTATCAGGGGCACTCACCCTATCTCCCTCTTCTTTCTGCAAGTGTCTCCTTTTCTCCAACTGCACCCAGCTGTGGTGGGTGATACAGGGCTGTGGTGGGTGATGCAGGGCTGTGGGGTAGAGGGAGTCAGGGTTGTGGTGGGTGATGCGGGACTGTGGGGTTGGGAGAGTCAGGGCTGTGGTGGGTGATGTAGGGCTGTGGGGTGAGGGGAGCCAGGACAGTGGGGGGATGAACCGGGGCTGTGGTGGGTGATCCCCTACTTCGGTAGGGGAGCCAGGGCTGTGGTGAGGGAGCCAAGACTGTGATGGTTGGTTTTGGCTATGGTAGAGGGAGCAGGACTGTGGGGGAAGCCAGGCTCTGGTGGAGGGGGCAGGGTTGTAAGGTTCACTTGAAAGCCTGGAGGGAGAGAGTCCATATAGGCACTACATGATTTTGTTGGTTTATTTCATTTTCTTAGCAGATCTCCTTCCAGGTGACTCTTTGGTGGGCCACTGAAGTACCCTTGGCTCTCCATCTCCTCAATTTCATTAAAATGGGGCCTTTGTTTTAAAAAGGTTCACTTACTTTTGTTTTACATGCATGGGTGTTTTACCTGCATGGTATGTCAGTGTGCTGCATTTGTAGTACCCTTGGAAACCAGAAGAGGAGAGGATGTTGGATCCTCTGGAAATTGAGTTACAGACTGCTATTAGCTGCCGTGTGGGCTCTGGGAACCAAACCCAGGTTCTCTGGAAGGACAGCTGGTGTTAACCTCAGAACCATCTTCCCCGCTCTAAACTGTGCCTTTAAGGAGAACATTAACTTGTGACATCAGGAACTTGTCTCTGTCCCTTTCTCAGTGACCTTCAATACCACACATGCACCTGTCCACTGGAGATCTCTTCTTAGGACTCCCTGTGTAGGGGCTGACTCACGTGGGGACTCACTCACTTTGTCTAATTCAGCTGAAAATCACGCTGTGTAGGGGCTGACTCGTGTGGGACTCACTCACTTTGTCTAATTCAGCTGAAAATCACGCTGTGTAGGGGCTGACTCGCGTGGGACTCACTCACTTTGTCTAATTCAGCTGAAAATCACGCTGCCTTCAGACTCTGCTTCTCCCAGCACATCCCTACCCTCAGGAACTAGCGTGGCCTACAACCAACCAGCATACAGATACGGTCACTCAGGCTATCCCTTGTAAGAGTTTCGTGACTGTTGCCTTGAAGAAAAGTACTTTTGTCTTTACGGAGAATCCTGGGTTCTTAAGGAGAAAGCAGGATGAGCTGGGGTGAGAAGCTGACCACAGGCAAGGGTGAAAGTGCGGCTCTCACAGCGTGGGACCAGCTCCAGCATCCTGGCCGCCTCTTGGTGAAGATGCTGAGAACAAGGGACTGTTGCACTCACCCCTAAAGGAGACATCTACATCACCTGCTTCAAGACCCAAAGAACATGGTCGATGAGGGGTGCAGATAAAGTGTAGGAGCTGGAGGAAAGGGAGGAGTGTTGTGAACTGTGGTCTTCCAGACGTGGCATAGTCATTGCAGTCATGAATGCATCACCACTGTATCTGCCTGCACAAGACCTACACAAGAACGGGCCCATCCACGCTCTGCCATGGATAAGGAAGGGACTCATGAAGGTCTGTCCTTGCCTCTGGAGCTACTAGCAGGTAACGGTTGCTGGGGGTGGGGTGGCATTTTCATCAGTAGTGTAACCCAAGTTGTGGTAAATAATCCTCCCACCCATGCTTCTGTAAGCTGTCCTGATTAAACTCAATTAGTGAACAAAAACTAAACAAAGTGTAGAAGGGATACTGTTTGGGAAGATGACCAGTAGGAGTGGAGGCAGAAATGACAAGAGGGCAATGTGGGGTGGATGTGGCCAAAACACACTGCATGTGAGTGTGAAATTTTCCTAAAATTTTAAATTTAATTTAAAAGGCCTATTAACTCTGGGAACAAATTTCCCCCACCTTAAACAATCAATGTCCAAGTGAGGTTTTGGAAGTTCTGGCCTGGATCTGGAAGTGTCTATGGTGAACAGCGATGACTTGTCATAGGGAAAGGGTGTCTGGGGCCTGGAGGCCTGTCCTATGCCCCCCACTCCCGTCACATCCCCACTAATGAAATCACAGGGAGAGGACAGCACTCCCAGGCACTTGACAAGCGTCCTTCCTGATGAGTTGAAGGGAATGTAGAAATGTGCTGGCATCAATACCCAGACCATGATAGCTGTTAGTGGGAATACCGTTTGGGGCTGTAAAACCAGTGCTTACACACATTAGACCTTAGAGGGCAGTGAGTGGTCTGTGTTACTGACTATAAACCCAGGAAGGGCCTGGACTGGAACAAAGCATGTGTAAGGGTGAGGGGTATTGGGATACACTGTCTGAATGAATCTACTCACTGGGAACTTCACAGTTTGTAAAACTCTATCCACTCAAACGTCTCACTTAATCTGTTGTGAAACTCTCAGTCTACCTATGTCAGCCAGGCTGCCTCTGTCCCTCTGCCCCTGTCAGAGCTGAGAAGGAATCCCCAACCCTGTCCTGCGATCAGAAGCTGCTTGTGTGTACATTATTTGTCCTTGTGAATTTAGTCACCACCACCATCTAGAGGGCCCATTTGGACCTTTGTCCTCTGGTTTCCAACCAAGGATTGGGAATCCCTGTTCCCACCGTTCACTTTTACACCAAAGAACTCTAAGCATGGGGAATCTACTCAAGTTACATGGAAATGTTTTTAAAAATAGTCCTGCTGTAAAATTGCAATGCGGAGGAATGTTGTTTGACTCTTACTTCCACACCCCTCTGCTTTCTAAACTGCAGATGGGATCGGGAGTTGAAGCCCAGAGGTGTTTGGTGTCTTACCTCTACCCCAAGAAGTCTAGGTTAGGAACTTGATTTTCCACTTCTGTTTAAAAGCTCATATTTAACTTCACAGATTCTCCTGGCCGCCTACACTGCTCTCCCCTTTTAGCCCCCGTTTTACATTTCCCAAGAACAGGGCATATTTTTAGCTGGTGTGACCCGACCCCCACTACACTCACTCACACACACACACACACACACACACACACGGATATTATATCACAGTTAGACATTTAGAATAAGTGTGTCTCAAGTACAGCCCCGGCAGGGTCTTATGAAGAAAATGTACTTTCCTCGTAGATATCTTTCCCAAAGGACTAAACTCAAAGGCCCTTTTAAGGTAGCATAGTAGCTCATGCCTTTAATTCCAGCACGCAGGAGGCAGAGACAAGTGGGTCTCTGAGTATGAGACCAGTCTGGTCTACATAGAAAGTTCCAGGAGGACTAGAGCTGCATACTAAGACCCTATCTCAAACCAAGAAATGTAGGATAGAGTTGAATCAAAGGCATGGTCATGCATCTTAGAGTATAACCCATTGTTAGGAGCTGGTGAGGTTGCTCAGTGGTTAGGAACACACACTTCTCTTGCAGAGGACCTGAGTTCAGTTGGACTATGTTGGGTAGCTCATACTTTCGTTACTCCAGGGTGAGGAGCATCCCACATCCCTGGGCACTCATGAGCATGTACCTCCCTATCTACACATACACATTGTGGAGAATGTTGAGGAGTGGGTGAGGTTGAGGGGGCAAGTCTGGGCACGGTATCACCAGATAGTGAGA